GATCCACCCGGAGCCCCACGGGGATCCTGGGCCGGGCGAGGAGGGGGCAGATCCAGCCCGGGGAGGGAGGGAGGGACCCCCTTTGCCCCCCTGGAGGGAAGGGAGGGATCCACTCCCTGCAGGCGACGCCAGAGCCGAATCTCCCCAAGGAAAACCCGGCAAGCCGGAGAGGCGGATCCGCAGCTACCTTTCTCCTGGCGGGGGGGGGGAAGCTCTCCTGGCGGGAGGGGCGCCCCAAAGGCCGGAGGGGGAGCAGCCAGACCTGCCCCGAGCGGGATCCAGAAGCCTCTCCCGAGGGATCCAGCGCCGATCCTGCCAGGGCGAACAAGGAGCGAAGCCGAGATCCAGCGAGTGGGCGGGTCGAGGCGGGGGCGGGGCTTCTGCTCTCCTCTTCGGCTCCGCCTCCGCTTTGCAGCCCCGCCCATTGGCCTCCTCTTCTCCCCCCTCTCCCTCTCCTTCCTGCTTCCCAGCTAGGGCTTCTGTTCCTCCGCTGGGCGTCCGCGTCCAGGGTTCCTCTGCCCATGCGAACAGTGCCCTGCTGTGCCCGGACTGAGCTGCTTCCTAATGCAGCATCTGGGCGGAACCTGAAGCGCCGCGATGGCCGCGAAAGAGTCACGGAGGGAATGGCGAGGATTGCGGCGCTTCCTGCAGGCTGGAGAAGAGGGCGGGGAGGGGACGCGAACCCGGGAAAGAGCTGCTCCCAGGGGAGGGGGGAGGGAGGGGGCGGCTCCAGACCATCCGGGGTCCCCTCCGCGGCCGAGACGGGAGGGAAGGAGAAGCGGGGCAGGGTCCTCCGTGCAGCCGAGGTTGGGGGAGCGCCTGGGGGAGGAACGGGAAGGAGTCCCGAGCGGATCCCTTCTAGATCCCGAAGATCCTGGAAGTGCAGCTGCGCAGGTGTCGAGGTGGGAACAGACAGAGGGGGCGCCCCAGCGAATCCCTGGAGGGAGGAAGTGGGAAAGAGCCGGGGGCAACAGGAACCGATGCCCTTGGAGGAGGGGTCTCCTGCAGCTGCCCCAGAGTCCCCCAGAGGACCCGTGGACGGGGGGGGGAGCAGATTCCCCCAGGGCCCCCACTCGCCTTTGCCTCCCTTCTTCCCAGAATCGGACAGAGGTCACTGCTTGCCTCTCAAAGACAAAGACTGCTGGACTTCCTCTAACTCGGGGGGGGGGGAACCAATTTTTACACAGAGGCTTATAAACGGTTTGTAAGGCCCTGAGGAGACCCCCTTCTTCTTCCCTAGTCCCCCCATGACACTTAATTCGGATTTTGGCCCCTGAAGTACATTTGAACTTTTGAATATATATTAAGCATATCTGAACTCTTCAGAAGCCCCCCCCCATTATCAAATGAAACCTTTAGATGCCTTCAGAGCAGCTCACCTGTCTGGGGGCTGCAGAGCTGCTGGATCACAACTCCCCTCAAGTCCAGCCGGCAAGACAGTTATGGGAGTAGAAATCCAGCCTAACTCTAGTCTGGAGGGTTCCATTTAGTGAATGCTAGCAAGACTCCGTGTGGCAAGACCATCACTGGACCCACAATCTAAGAAACACAATGTTAAGCTGCTGTGTGTAGAATGTAATTTTATTTACTCTGCAGTCCAAAATATTTCTCTTTCTGAGATACAAAAACAATTAGGAGCATTTAGAGCAGCACCCGGGTTTAAGGAAGAACCGGAAGACAAAGCAGGAGTTAAGCAGGTCAGTCCAATGAGAGCCAGGGGACCCCCTCTGGTCACCTTGCCCCAGCTGCTGTCCTCCAGATGTTTGGGACTTTGACTCCCACATCTGCATATCACCAGATTGGGAAAGGCCCTTCTGGGGCATAACAGGCCACACTCAGTTGGAAAGAATTGGGTGGGGGAGGTGGGGCAAGGGGGGTCTTTTCATAGAAACCAGTGTTTTTTTAAATCTTGGTAACATTTAAGATGTGTGGACTAAAATCCCCAGAATTCCCCAGGGAGCATGTTGGGAATTGAAGTCCACGCATCTGAAAGTTGCCATAGTTGAAAACCTCTGACAGAATCACATCCCTTGGCTTTCTGACGAATTGTTTGGGAACTGCTGCTTCACTTGGAAAGCAGCTCCTTTTTCATGGCTGTTTCCACCATACAGAGCCTTCTTGGTGGGGACCTCCCACTTCTGGAACCTTCCACAAAAAGAGGTGTGAATTGCCACTGCCCTGCAGATACAGATGTATATATTACATACATACATACACATTTGGAATACTGCATCCAGTTTTGGTCACCATGATGTAAAACAGATGTTGAGACTCTAGAACAGTGTTTCTCAACCTTGACAATTTTAAGGCATGTGGACTTCAACTCCCAGAATTCCACAGCCAGCATCGCTGGCTGTGGAATTCTGGGAGTTGAAGTCCACATGCCTTAAAATTGTCAAGGTTGAGAAACACTGCTCCAAAAAGAGTACAGAGAAGAGCAGCAAAGATGATCAGGGGACTGGAGGCTAAAACATATAAAGAACGGTTGCTAGAATTGGAAATGTCTAGGCTCATGAGATTAAAACATACCATGTATTTCTTCACAAGCTAGCATGGCTTCTTACAGTTCTGTAAAAACAATAAGCTCTTTTTCCCACTGACTCTGCCTGTGGGGGGTCAGCAAGGAAGGTCACAAACGGAGATCACACCTCAGTGTGGCTCTTTGTAATGTAGTAATTGCAAACCAGGCACGTAGCGCAAGTGGGGCTGTAATGCCTGCAACTTCTGGGATCAGCCATACGTCCATTTTTTTTTAGCACCATCCGGATTCCGAACGGTGGCTGAACAAATGGACATGAGCTGAGAACTTCTTGTACTTTAATCCAAACACTGCAGGGACATGTGGGGCCCAAAGATGAGTTGTTTATCTTAAAGAGATATTCATAATGCAGAGTGTAGCTGCTTCATCTTGGCCATCACGATGGCTTAGCCTTAATTGTGCTTTTTGTGACTGTGAGGATAAAATATTGGAGGGAAGGGGCTGCAATGACTTGTGCATCTTATAAAGGCCAAGGGATGTAAATATAATAACAATCATAATCATAATAACAACAATAATATTGGAAGGGACCTTGGAGGTCATCTAGTCCAACCCCTATCCCAGGTCCTTGGTAAGGACTTGATAGCTAGACAAAAATGCCAGATCCAGTCTGAACATCTGCCTGGCTGTATGATTAATAATAATAATAATAATAGTAGGGACCTTGGTGGTCATCTAGTCCAACCCCCTGCTCAGGCAGGAAAGTCTATACTATTTCAGACAAATTGCTGTCAAGTGTCTTTTTAAAAACTTCCAGGGTTGGAACGTTCACAACTTCTGGAGGCAGGTTGTTCCAATGATTAATTGTTCTAACTGTCAAGAAATTTCTCCTTAGTTCTAGGTTGCTTCTCTCCTTGGTTAATTTCCATCCATGGCTTCTTGTCCTGCCTTCAGGTGCTTTGGAGAATAGCTTGACTCCCTCTTCTTTGTGGCAGCCCCTGAGATATTGGAACACGGCTATGATGTCACCCCTCGTCCTTCTCTTCATTAAACTAGTCTGCTATGGACTTTTTAATGCATTTTTAGTTTTTACAATGAAAAAAGTTTCTCACACTGCACACTTGTGAGGCTACTCCCCTGTGTAATTTCTGTTGTGCCTGCGAAATGCTGAAGGTTGGGCAAAATATCTTCCACTTTCCAGACATTTTATGTTTTTTCTCCAGTGTGGTTTCGATAATGCTTCAAGAGAGTCCTTTTTTTAGTAAAACATTTATCGCACTCCGAGCATTTATGGGGCTTCTCTCCTATGTGGATTTGGCTGTGACATCTAAGGTTATATGGTTTAGCAAATGCTCTCCCACAGTCTAAACATTTGTAGTTTTTTTCGCCTGTGTGAATTTTCATATGACTCCAGAGGGTTGCTGTGGTACGATAAAAACTTCCACACTCGTTGCATTGATAGGGCTTCTCCCCTGTGTGGATTTTCTGATGTCTCCAAAGTACATCCTTATAAGCAAAAGATTTTCCACACTCTGGGCATTTGTATGGCTTCTCTCCTGTGTGAACCCTCAGATGCCTTCCAAGGTGCTGTTTCTGGGTAAAGCATTTCCCACATTCCCCACATTTGTACGGTTTTTCCCCTGTGTGAATTCTCTCATGAACCTGAACCTCACTTTGTGCAAAAAAACTTTTCCCACACTCCCGACATTCATAAGGTTTCTCCTCTTGGTGCCTCTTCTGGTGCCTCTCAAGTTCAGCAGAATTTACAAATCGTCTCTCACATTCTGGGCATTCATAGAGTCTGACTACAGTGTGAAGACTCTGATGTCGCACCAGGTTTGATTTCAAGGTGAAACATTTCCCACATTCGAGGCACTTTTCGTTTTTCTCCCCTCTGTGTGTTTTCTCATGACTCCAAAGAGATGAACTCAGGGTGAAACATTTCCCACACTCAAAGCATTTGTAAGATTTTATTCCTACGTGAACCTTCTCATGGATCCAAAGATGTGCGCTCTGTGAAAAGGTCTTCCCACATTCCCAGCACTTGTAAGGCTTCTCCCTTGTGTGAACCCTCTCGTGGTTTCTGAGGGTGGCTTTTTCACTGAAAAATTTCCCACATTCCAGACATTGATACGGTTTCTCTCCAGTGTGGATTTTCTGATGTCTAAGAAGGTTTGACTTTTGACCAAAGCATAAATCACATTCCTCACATTTATGGGGTTTTAATCTGGGGGGGCTTCTGAGATCTTTGGCACCTTTTCCAAAAAGGGATTTCTCACCCTCCAATCTTTCACTGGATCCGCTTCCCACATGGACCTTCCTGTGGGTCAAAAGGAGGGACCGGCGAGCAAAGGATTTGCCACACTCGGAGCATTCATGGGTTCTCTTGTGGTTTTTCAGAGTGCTGCTTGTGTCTGACGGGGGATCCAAGAGTTCCCCGCCCTCCATGAGTTCTGGCGACTGCTGCCTTGCGCTGAGTTTCTACTAGCTCTTGAAAGGTGACTTGCAGGTCAGAGTTTTTTTCCTGCTGGTGGAAAAAGAAAGAAGAGGAGAATAATGTTTCCTTTTGAGAATGGTAGAATCACAAAATCATAGCCTTGGAAGGGACCATGAAGGTCTTCCAGTCCTACCCTCTGACCAGGGCAGAGGTCCGCATTACACCCCAGACAAAACCTCCATTGATTCCTTCTCCCCACATCCCTGGGCGGCAAACTCTTCTGCTGTTCACTAACTCTATCTTTTCCTCCTTGGTTCTCGTCCTATGACGATGTGAAAAAGAAGCCCTGAAACTTTAGGTAGGAGGAAGGCCCAGGCAAGGGACGTGGGCGTGTCTGGGGTAGGAGAGATCCGGGAGCCAGGCTCAGGTCACCCATGAGTTCGGGGGGTGATGAAGTGGGATGCACAGCTGCAGCCACCCCTGGAAGCCTGAGCCGCCCCATCCAGACCATGGAAAGCAGCCCCGGTGGACAGTAATGCCGGGGCTGGGCCTTACGTGGAGGCCTACGGTCACTGAACCCAGACCTGGACTTCAGCCCACTGTCATCTCAGCCACTGAGAAATGAGGCCTTGATCCCCACAACGGAGGCCTTTGCAGCCTTGCGCCATTCTCCAAATCACGTGTTCCATACATGTTTCCAAGCAAAATATCTCAAAAGCATCTGTAAGCTTCTCTAGGACCTTCTTAAGTCAAACGTGGCCTGTGCCAGGACTCACAAATGCCTCTCCTGCCCACTTCAGGCAACCCCACATTCCTATCAGGGACTCATCTGCTTAACGACATGTGAAATTGCTTAACAACCACAATCTCAGGAGTAGAGGATCGCAGTCACTGAGCCAAACTCTCACGTGACATCTTTTTTTTTATTATTTTAATATTTTTTTATTTTTTAAACCAACAAAACAAAACATAACACACATACACACACAGTGTATACTCCTCCCTTTTTTTTTAACAGCATGGACATGCCCAGGTGTGAAAAAATACTGGACTAAAATAAGAAGATGGATCGAAGAAATAATAGACCAACCCGTAGACTGGAAACCAGAGATCTTTTTGCTGGGTATTTTAAACAGAAAATATAGTAAAGAAATACGGTACTTAATTCTACATATAACAACGGCAGCAAGAATAGCATAAGCACAGTTCTGGAAAAATGAGAATATACCTTCAGAGGAAGAAGTGATAAGAAAAATCTTAGACTGTGCTGAGATGGACAAATTAACAAAAGAGATAAAAGAAAAGGAAGACACAGAGTACTATCTAATATGGAACAAGTGGTATGACTGGTTGGAGACTAGAAATAATAGAGGAGAATAAATGTGGAAAGGTCAAAAGTGGAAAATGTGTGTATAATAATGTATAGTAATAATAATATGTATTATTCTTAGTATGAAATATAGTATGAAGGAAGAAAAATGCAAGTAAGAAACAACGGGACAACAAGGACAAATATATCTAAAGAAGAATAAGGGGGGGAAATGTAAATAATAGAAGATTACCGTTACGGAACTGCTGTTAAAAAAAAAAGGGCACCTGACATCTTAACGACCAAGATTTCAGTGCCAATTGTGGTCATACGTCCAGGACAAACTGAGGATATACCAAAAACTAAGGCATCGCATAAGCAGAAGGGAAGGAAAGAGAATTCAGAACACATTTCTGATTCTTATCCTTTGTTTCTGCTTCTTGGGACTTTTGCACTTATGAGCTCCATCCCATCATGACTTCTTGATTCCTGCTTCCTTGCAAGACATTTTTTATGTTTTATAAAATATTACAAAAAAGGGGGAAAAATAGATCCAGGAAACTGCAGACCACTCAGCCTGATATCTGTACCTGGGAAGATCCTGGACAAGATGATCAAGCAAGGAATCTGCGAAAGCCTAGGAAAAAAATTACTAGAAGCCAACGTGGGTTTGTCAAAAACAGATTATGCCAGACAAAACCTATTGCCTTCTTTGTCAAAGTGACTAAAATAGTGGAATAGTGAAATTCAATGGATATACTATACTTGGACTTCAGTGAGGCATGGGACAAAGCCGATCACAGTCTACTTCTTGATAACACACAAAAAAAATGTGGGATAGACACCATCACCACCAGAGGGATTCATAACTGCCTTGACCAATCGCACTCACCATGTAGTCCTCAATAGAACTACATTACGGTTTCACCCAGCATTTTGGGAGCAAAACACAATTTCTCTGCATTGCTCTTTGGTCCAATAAAGATTTAAAAAATATATGCTTACTCTCCAAACCAAGATTTAATCAAGATTTGCTTACTCACCTTTAAAGTTACAACTAAGAGATCTCTGGGTCACTTGTTCCACCCTGTGGGTCAAGATCAGGTATGGCCCTCATTGCTGGCCGGTTTGATCTCTCCTATGCTACTTGGCCCTTTGTGCAGGAAGCTGCTTCTCCAACCGGACCACGATTTCCAAAATCTCTAGAACGGAGTCCCGGCCAAAGATTGGTGGGGCCCGATCCAAGAACACTCCCCCTTCTCTGTGGACTTCAGGGCCACATCCTCACTGGTCTCCTGCAAGAGAAATGAAAAAGGCTCAGATGCTGAACATCATCTGTAAATGACTCGGAAAAGGGAGGAGAATATGGAATTATTTGTTGAGGATATAAAATAATGGAGATAGAATCCTGATTCAAGAAGATCTTGATGAGCCAAAATGGAAGAAACCAGCAAGATGAAGTCCAACAGGGACCAATGCAGAGTTGTGAGTAGGAAAACTCAATGGAATATGAGAGAGATCAGATGGGGCAGAGCATGGGTGGAAAGGGCTGCTCTTTCCTGCTCTTTTTGGAGGCTGGGAGGCCATAAAGATTCCAGGCAGGTGTTTCCAAAATATTTACAATTAGGAAAGGCAGCCTTTTGGCCATCAGCTTGTTTTATTACCTGCTCACAAGACCAGCCTCAAAACTTCCTCGGTGCTTTGTAAAATATCCACCAAGATGGAGCTGCTACATCACAGCCTCTTCTGGGCAAAACAAGGAAAATATAAAGTTTAGAAATTCGTCCCAGCTTTTTAAGGTGGAAGCAAAGTAAACATTAGCATCAAAACAAAGGATTTTATTTTTAGCTTTTTACATGGAGCTCAATGAAAGAGGATCTCTTGGTGGGAGGGTGTGAAGAAAACATGAACTACATCCAGTTAATTTAAACTTGTTTTCTTTCCCCCAAACCCTCCCCTCCCCATCGCAATGAGGTCAGTCTGTGTTAATACCACATTACAAAGCTTTTGTTTATTCCATTTTCTGCAACTGCGGGATATGCATGCTCTGACGGACCACAGAGAGACCTTCTGAAAGCAACTTCCCCAAAAGCTCCTTCCCGGATCCACCCGGAGCCCCACGGGGAGCCCTGGCCGGGCGAGGAGGGGGCAGATCCAGCCCGGGGAGGGAGGGACCCCCTTTGCCCCCCTGGAGGGAAGGGAGGGATCCGCTCCCTGCAGGCGACGGCAGAGCCGAATCTCCCCAAGGAAAACCCGGCAAGCCGGAGAGGCGGATCCGCAGCTACCTTTCTCCTGGCGGGGGGGGGGAAGCTCTCCTGGCCGGAGGGGCGCCCCAAAGGCCGGAGGGGGAGCAGCCCGACCTGCCCCGAGCGGGATCCAGAAGCCTCTCCCGAGGGATCCAGCGCCGATCCTCCCAGGGCGAAGCGGGGCTCACGAAGGGAAGCCGAGATCCAGCAAGCGGGATGGTCGAGGCGGGGAAGGGGCTTCTGCTCCCCTCTCGGGCTCCTCTTTCGCCTTGCAGCCCCGCCCCTGCTCCTTCCCCAATTTCCCCTCCCAGCCAGGACCACGTGATCCGAAACCTCCTCTGTTCCTGGTCTTCCTTCGCCTTGGTTCCTCTGCCCATGGGAAGAGTGCTTTTCTCTGCACACTGGAATCGGAGCTGCCCCTCCTGCTGCAGTGTCGTTGTGTGTTGTTTGGATGCAAGCTTAAGCTCCGCGGATGGCCCTGAAAGAGACACCCTAAGACAGTGGTTCTCAACCTTTTTAATGCCGCGACCCCCAACCGGTCGTAAGTCGAGGACTAAACCGGTCGTAAGTCGAGGACTAAACCAGTCGTAAGTCGAGAACTACCCAACCGGTCGTAAGTCAAGGACTTTCCCTGCCCGGGAACGCCGCGCATGCGTGGTTCCGCCCCCTGCGCCGGCCGAGGCGTAGCTGGCAAGCGGCAGAGACGGAGCAGGCCAACCACCAGCTGGCCCAGCTCAGGGGAGGTAAGGCACCCGCCGGAAAAGGGGAAAAAAATGGCGGACAGCCTTGCTTGGCGACCCCCATTAAATGGTCGATCGACCCCAAATGGGGTCGCGACCCATAGGTTGAGAACCGCTGCCCTAAGAGTTGAGGGGTCCTTGGGGCTCCCTGAGGTTGTTTGTCGGTTGCTGCCCTGATGATGTTACCCAGTTTGGGTAACGAGACGTCTCCAAGGAAACACCGAAGCTCAGAGACCACCAAGGACCCCCCCTCAATTCCACCCTGAGCCATTCTCCTTGGTAGATTTCTGGAGCTGGAGAAGACGGGCGGGAGGCAGGTCTCTAGGTCGGATCTTGACCCAGAGGAATAGCAGCTCCGAGGGGGACTCCATCTCCCCACTACTTAGGGTAGGGGTTGGCAACCTTGGCTCTTTTATGACTCGTGGACTTCAACTCCCAGAATTCCTGAGCTCAGGAATTCTGGGAGTTGAAGTCCAGGAGTCATAAAAGAGCCAAGGTTGCCTACCCTTGACTTAGGGGAACCTCTTCCTCTATGTCAGTGGTTCTCAACCTTTTTCATGCCGCGACCCCAACTGGTCGTAAGTCGAGGACTAAACCGGTCGTAAGTCGAGGACTAAACCAGTCGTAAGTCGAGGACTACCCAACCGGTCGTAAGTCGAGGACTTTCCCTGCCCGGGAGCGCCGCGCATGCGTGGTTCCGCCCCCTACGCCGGCCGAGGCGTAGCTGACAAGCGGCAGAGACGGAGCAGGCCGACCACCAGCTGGCCCAGCCCAAGGGAGGTAAGGCACCCGCCGGAAAAGGGAAAAAAATGGTGGACAAAAAAAATGGCGGACAGCCTTGCTTGGTGACCCCCGTGAAATGGTTGATCGACCCCAAATGGGGTCCCGACCCACAGGTTGAGAACCACTGCTTTATGTGTTGTGCTACCATAGGAACCAGGGGTCCAAATCAAGATGCTCACACAGGACCCCCGCCCTGTGCTTGGAGAGGGCGGGTAGATGCCAGCAGCCCCCTGAAGTAGCCAATAGGAGACGGTAGATCTCCGCTTCTGAGCATATAGCAATTACGTCATAAAGGATATTTCTATGGGATCAAAAGGGAAAATACCACTTGCCAAGTTAAAAAAAGCTAGGAAAACGTTACACTGCCTTGGGCTGCGGAGGAGATGCCATTTCATGGAGGACAGAGGAGAAGGAGAGAATTAACCACGGTTCAGGGCGAGTGAGGAGTTTACAGCACGTCTCAATTAGTGTGGTTAATCGCACAAAAAGACTGCATTCAGATTTGTTGTTTGAAGTGATATTTTCATGTAAAATAGGTTAATTGGGTTCAGACTGAGAGAAATAGGCAAGAAAAGTATTTAATGTAACATGATATGTGAACAGTAAAGAAATATCACAGTAAAGAATAAGAACATACTGAAAGGAATTTAAATTTATGGTTAAAACCACAACTGTACACACAGTAGCCTTAATTGCACACACACAGCCTCACATTAACTGAATTTTGGGTAATATGAAACCTTTGCATTTCACACCAAATTGATTACATAATTCAAAGTGGCACTTTTTGTGACCTACTACATATGTTTGTCCTCAGTTAAGATGTGGTTCATTTAATCAGAAGTGTGTTGGGCACATATAGGTACCCACCAATGACCTGCCTTTAAGAGCAGGGATCCATCCAAATCCCCAAGACATTTTTCCTAAAGTTCATCCAACATCTACGTCAGTGATGGCGAACCTTTTAGAGACCAAGTGCCCAAACTGCAACCCAAAACCCACTTATGCATCGTCCGGTGCCGGGTGGATGTGGCCCATTGGGTGGGCGTGGCTGCGGTGGTAACGGCAGACAGGGTGGGACTAAAAAGTTCAATCAATCAATTCCAACTTTGCAGGATCTTTTTTTTTCCTGTGAGAAGTTGAAATTGACTGATTGATTGAACCTTTTTTTTTTTTGCACACGGCAACGGAGGCCTAAAGCAAAAAGGTTTTATAAAACCCAGCTGAAGGCCTAGGACTGGGGCGACGGCGTGCGTGCCCACAGAGAGGGCTCTGAGTGCCGCCTTTGGCACCCGTGCCATAGGTTCGCCACCACTGATCTACGTCTTTCAATTCAACCCAGGAATTCAGAAGTCTCCAGCTAGAGAAGATGGAGTCAAAAGAATCAAGATGGTGGCTGCTTTAAAGGGCATCACATACACTGCTAAAAAGCAGCAGGACTTTGACTGCAGAGTATGGCACAATTTGACTGCTGTCTTGACTTTTTTAAACTCTCTGAAAACAGCCCTCTTGATTATTTTGAACAATAATTTTATTAAGGATTTGCCCGTACGAATAATTTGGTGGGTTCTGTAGAATTCTTCACTTTGCAGACACACTTCAGCGTACTCACCTATCTATTTTCCCCTCCTACCTCCTGTTGACAGTTTTTGAATTTTGGTGTTGGGGAAGACTCCCGAGATTATCGTGGGCAGCCAAGAAAATCAACAAATGGGTCACAGTACAAATCAACATAAAAGGCCAGGCTCAAATTGCAATCAGTCAGAGACATTCCACAAAAACCCGTGCTTTCTGGAGAAGATTGTTATGCTGAGAAAGATGGAGAGAATGGGAAGGAGAGGGCAATCGCGGTGTGTCCTGCCCACGCAGATTGAATGCTTCCCTCTCCACGTGAGGCAAGCAGTAGTTACTCAAATGAACAGATCAAAGAAGATTACTAATTCACAGGTATTCCCAATCAGTAATCAGGATCCATTTCATTAGGTAAAAAGTTAATGGTTTTTCCATTCTGCATATAAAATCACGTGTTGCATTACGGCTGCTTCTCAGCCACAAGGCTGGGTGATACAAATGGCACAAAGCCAGGAAGTCCAGTCATAAACATAGAAACTCCTCCCACTTAACTGGATAAGCTACATTACCCATAAACCATCTCTTAAGGAAACAGCGTTTAACCCTATAAATGCCAAACATTCTAACATACAGATCTATATGGTCTGGCCAGGGTTATACTGGTCCAGCACAGGGTGGATTCAGTTACAGTGGCAATGGGGTCCCCATTGGGAGACCTGAAGGATCGGGTTGGGGACAGATCCTCCTGGAGAAAATCTATTATGTAATTGCTAAGAGTTGACACAGAGTTGATGGCAAATAATAACCAACGGTCGTCATCATAGACTCCTTAACTTGCTCTCCTTCCATTACAAATTTGAGTAAAATGTTATATATTTTAGCAATTCCACGTTCACTGTTTGCACATGTAGTAGTTCAGTTTCAAATTCTGTTTCACAGTAGGTGGTTCAGTTCCAGATGTGCTTTTGTCTGTTTTTCAACCTTTAACTCTGCACACGGAAACTGAGAAACTAAATCCCTCTGCAGTTAGTTGATCTCTTGACTTCACCTTGTATTCTCCGTGTTCTTGTTCTAACAACTCTAAATTTATCATCTTGCAGGTAGTCCTCGACTTACGACCACAACTGAGCCCAAAACTTGTTAAGTGAAACATTTGTTAAGTGGGTTTTGTCCCATTTTACGACATTTCTTGCCACAGGTGTTAAACTGAATCACTGTGGTTGTTAAACTGGTAACACGGTTGTTAAGTGAATCTGGGTTTCCCGTTGACTTTGCTTGTCACAAGGTCGCAAAGGATGACCCCGGATCACCGCAACCGTCATAAATGTGAGTCAGTTGCCAAGTGTCTGAATTTTATTCACGTGACCAGGGGGGATGCCGAAAAAATGGTCATAAGTCATTTTTCTCACTGCCGTTGTAACTTCAAATGGTCACTAAATGAACAGTTATAAGTCGAAGACTGCCTGTATTGACAAATTGATGGGAAAAAGCGGTTTAAAGAAATGAGACAAAAAGTGTAAGACATAGGGGTATTACAATTTATCTATTTATTGTTATCCACTCTTTTTTCCCCATAAAATGATTCTTGTAATTTTTAAGTTTTTAAGAAGAGACTCGACAGGCATTTGTCTGAAATGGTATAGGGTTTCCTGCCTGAGCGGGGGGGGGGGGGGGGTTGGACTAGATGACCTCCAAGGTCCCTTCCATCATCATCATCATTAACAAGTATTCTCTTTCCTCTTGAAGAGTTTCCAATTAAACTCTTGGTTTTTCTCCTGCCATATAAGCTTAGGTATATCTTCCTGCCATTCCTTTAGTGGTCCACCCGTTGTCCAGAGAGACATTGTTTAAAACAGAAACATCAGTCTCTAGCTAATATAGTTATTTTTAATTATAGAAATTCTACCCAACGACAATTGTAATTTTTTTCCCCACCTTAACAAATCCTTCTTGATTTCATTCCATGCCTTGTCATAATTATTTTGACATAGAATTCGTATTCTTTGTAAGAATACCCAAATGTCTTACTTTTTTTAAAAATCGCTTTTCCCATCAATTCTTTTTGGTCTTCCATTTTCATATTTTGGACAACTAATTTGTCCATTCGCCATTGATGTTAAAACCAGCTAATGCACTAAAATTCATTAATTTTTCCATTAATATTATGGTTTCTTCCAAAAGGTCTTTTAAAAGTACCACAAAATTATAATCAGAGCTCTTCTTACTTCCGGGCTTCCATCCGCTGCGCTCTAGGATACATATTCTATGTTTCTACAGGGAGTCCTTGCCTTACACTAGTTCATTTAATGACCATTCAACGTTACCACAGCACTGAAAAAAAGTTGATGTCCGTTTTTCAGTTACGACCTTTGCAGCATCCCCATGGTCATGTGATCAAAACTGAGATGCTTGGCAACCGGCTCATACTTATGACCGTTGCTGTGTCCCAGGGTCACGTGATCACCTTTTGCAGCCTTCCTTCTGACAAGCAAAGTCAATGGGGGAAGCCAGATTCACTTAACAACCACGTGACTAACTTATCAACTGCAGTGATTCACTCAGCAACTGTGGGGAAAAAGGTCGTAAAATAAGTCGAGGACTGCCTGTATATATTTCCTGGATGTGTTAATCCTGCCCAACTCAAAAGAGACTTTTGGTGGCTTCCAAGATCTTAGCAGGAGTCCTTTTTTGATTCCGGAGAATTTCACATTAGATTTTAGATTTTCACACTCACATTAGACTTTCATATTAACTTCTGAAAATTAATTTTTAAAAAAAATATATAAAATTTTTAAGTTGACAAGATCCGGTTCCGGATCGCGGCGCCAGCAGACGTGCGGGGAGAGCCTTCTCTCTGCCGCCCGGTTTCTCTCCATCGGAAGACCCTGGAACGGGTCGAAACTCGCCCTGGAGAAGCGACCATGCCTGAGGAGGACCAGCACAACTAAGCACAGTGAAGCACCACGGAGGATTTGGGTGAGACTTTTCCTTCCCTCTCTCTTATCCCAACTACCTTCCTATGAAAGCCTCCTGAAATGATTTTTAACGGATAATTGACAAAAAATGCTTTCTCATGATCTAAGAGTTTCTAATTCCCCCTTTAGTAACTCTTACATGACTTCTAAGGGTTGAACAACTATGAAAAACTGTTCCATCAACAGGGCCTGTTAGGGCTTTCCCCATGTGAGTCTTCTGATATCTCCCTTTTGACCAAAACATTTCTACACTTTATGAGTCTTTATGGCTTCACTCCTGTATGGACCTTCTGATGACTTCCGAGGTGGTCTTTTCGGGAAAAGCATTTCCCACACTCCACACATTTGTACGGCTTCTCCCCTGTGTGGGTTCTCTCATGAACCTGAAGCAGTGCTACTGTGAGAAAACCTTTCGCACAATCCCCACATTTATAGGGCTTCTCTCCTGTGTGCCCCCTCTGGTGTCTCCGGAGTTCAGCAGACTCCACAAATCGCTTGTCACATTCTGGGCATTGATAGGGCCTGTCTCCGGTGTGAAGTCTCTCATGTCGAATTAGGTGTGACCTTAGGGAGAAACATCTCCCACATTCTGAGCACATTTCATTTTTATTGCTTTCTACACATTTGTAAGGTTTCTTTGCTGTGTGAATCATTTTGTGTTTTCTAAGATATTCTTGGCAAGAAAAAGACTTCCCACACTCCGGACATTTATATGGTTTCTCTCCACTGTGGATTCTCTGATGTATCAAAAGGCTATTTTTGTGAGAAAAACATTTATCGCACTCCGAGCATTTATGCGGCTTCTCTCCTATATGAACTTGCCAGTGACGTCTAAGATGAGATGAATAAATAAATGCTCTACCACAGTCTAAACATTTGAATTTTTTTTCCCCTCTGTGGATTTTCTCATGATCTCTGAGGGTTGATATCAAACAAAAATATTTTCCACACTGGATGCAATGATAGGGTTTCTCCCCTGTGTGGATTATCTGATGTCGAAAAAGAGTTCCCTTTAGAGCAAAACATTTCTCACAATCGTTACATTTATAGGGTTTTTCTCCCGTGTGCGTCTTTTGGTGTCTCCAAAGTGTGGAAGAACTCCCAAATCGTTTCTCACATTCTGGGCATTCATGGGGTCTTTCCCCAGTGTGGATTCTCTGGTGTTGCTGCAGGTGTGATTTATTGGAAAAACATTTCCCACATTCCAGACATTGATAAGGTCTCTCCCCAGTGTGGACTGTCTGATGTCGCTGCAAGGCTGATTTGCTGGAAAAACATTTCCCACATTCTAGGCACGTTCTGCTTTCCTCCTCTGTGTGTGTTTCATGATGTTTGCAAAGTGATGAACTGCGAGTGAAACATTTTCCACACTCTAAGCATTTATAAGGTTTTATTTCCATGTGAATTTTCCTGTGGATGTTTAGACTTGTTTTTCGAACAAAAGATTTCCCAGACATTGATAAGGTTTTTGTCCAGTGTGGATGTGTTGATGTTTAAGCATCTCTGAGTTCTGAGAAAAGCAAAGCCCAGATTGCATACAATTGCAGGGTTCCTCTTCAGTTGGGCTGTTCTGAGGCCTGGAAAAACACTGAGGCCTTCCTGAGGTCTCTTTCCCTGGTGGATACGCTAAGGAGCTCTGATGTCCCAGCCTTTAGCAAAATGCTTCCCACACTCTCCACATTTGTAGGGATATCCCGCACTCAGAGCACTTGAAGAGTCTCTCCTGGTTCCTCTGAGGGGACCTTCTATCGAAGTATTTCTCCACCCAGCATAATTTCTGGCGCCTTCTCAGTTGCAGGGCTTTCTAAACGGAGAAAATCTCACAACTGGAATTTTGTCCACTTTCCCGGTGCCACCTACTGCATGAAGGGAAAAGAAGAAAAGAAGAAAGATTCATGACAGCTGACAGAATAGCAATAGCACTTAGACATATATACCGCTTCACAGTGCTTTACAGCCCTCTCTAAGCGGTATACAGAATCAGAACATTGCCCCCCAACAATCTGGGTCCTCATTTTACTGACGTCAGAAGGATGGAAGCCTGAGTCAACCATGAGCTGGTGAGAATCAAACTGCTGGCAGTCGGCAGAATTAACCTGCAATACTGCATTCTAACCACTACGCTATCACGGCTTTCCCAGTTGCTCCCCATTTGTCTGCCTGAATTGTTAATGATTCCTGCCTTTTCCTTTTTCTCAGTTGTGTGTGTGTGTGTGTGTGTGTGTGTGTGTGTGTGTGTGTGTGATGCTCTATGATGTGAGAAAACATAGCAAAGACCCCCGCCCCAGACTTTGTATATGTCAGGTAGCTCCAATGCAGACTGAACATGGGGTCCTCCTAAAATGGCTTTCTATTATTCCTTTATAATTTAGGGAGGGTGTAAATATATTCATCGGAGTCAGCAATACCTCATGGTGGGGGTTGAGACCCCCATTTCCCGAAAGAGAGGCTGATGGCTTCCGTTGGCCAAAACTTCCACCTGGTAGTCCTACCTGCCCATGATAGACTTTGGGCTCCAACTTCAGCCAGTTTCTTTCGGCTTTAAGACATTTCTCACTTAGCAACATAAATTTTGGGCTCAGTTGTGGTTGTAGGTTGATGACTATCTATACACCCAATTATCTCAGTTTTAATGGGAAACTTGTGCTTTTCAACCTTTTCACAGGTTGTTCCACTTTTAGGATATGGAAATGTTCGAGTACCACCAGTCGCCTAGCAAGGTGTCAAAATCTATCACCAAAAAAAAAAAAGGAAAGTGATAAAATACAGTTAGTCATCGATTTACAACAATTTGCTTATTGACTGTTCGAAGTTACAACAGCACTGAAAAACGTGACATATGTCCATTTTTCACACTTATGACCGTTGCAGCATCCCCAGGGTCTTGTGATTTAGATTCAGATGCTTGGCAACCGATCCATATTTATGATGGTCACAGTGTCCCAGAGTCATGTAATCCCCTCGTGCAACTTTCTGATGAGGAAAGTCAATGGGAAGACCAGATTCACTTAAGAACTGTGTTACTAATTTAACAACTGCAGTGATTCACTTAACAAATGTTCCAAGAAAAGTCATAAAATGGGAGACAACTAATTTAACAAATTTCTCACTTAGCAACACAAATTTTGGGCTCAGTTGTGGTTGTAGGTTGATGACTTTCTGTACTTACCACACTTTTAATGGGAAACCTGTGCCTGTTTCTCTGACATTAATCTTTGCACTATTCTACCCCCTTCTCTCCTTCTGGTTGAGTCAAAGAAGCTGATAGGTGATTGCAGGGCCTTTGGGGGGGGTGCGGCTTCTGCATTTGGAGCGGGGGCATCAGGGGCATGTCAGGGTGNAAGTGGGGGGAAGAAAGGAAATCAAACCTGATTGAGAGGGAGCATAGTAACCCTGTCCCTCCACCACAGAGGGCAGATCCTTTTTTCTTTGTCGTTTTTCCGGACTTTTCATCCTGCTTTCGTGAGAGGGCAGCGTTTGGGCGGGTGAAGCTGCCCCCTTTTGCTCCCTCGAAGCTACAGCCAAGCAAGACAACCACCTGCCTGTGCTCTTCCCCCTGTCTGAGGTTTTCATTGTTCTGAGCATTTCTGTTGGGGATAACCAACTAGCACCCTGACATGCCCCTGATGCCCCGCTCCAAATGCAGAAGCCGCACCCCCCCCAAAGGCCCTGCAATCACCTATCAGCTTCTTTGACTCAACCAGAAGGAGAGAAGGGGGTAGAATAGTGCAAAGATTAATGTCAGAGAAACAGGCACAGGTTTCCCATTAAAAGTGTGGTAAGTACAGAAAGTCATCAACCTACAACCACAACTGAGCCCAAAATTTGTGTTGCTAAGTGAGAAATTTGTTAAATTAGTTGTCTCCCATTTTATGACTTTTCTTGGAACATTTGTTAAGTGAATCACTGCAGTTGTTAAATTAGTAACACAGTTCTGGTCTTCCCATTGACGTTCCTTGTCAGAAAGTTGCACGAGGGGATTACATGACTCTGGGACACTGTGACCATCATAAATATGAATCAGTTGCCAAGCATCTGAATCTAAATCACAAGACCCTGGGGATGCTGCAACGGTCATAAATGTGGAAAATGGACATATGTCACATTTTTCAGTGCTGTTGTAACTTCGAACAGTCAATAAGCAAATTGTTGTAAGTCGATGACTAACTGTATTTTATCACTTTCCTCTTTTTTTTGGTGATAGATGTTGACACCTTGCTAGGCGACTGGTGGTACTCGAATATTTCCATATCCTAAAAGTGGAACAACCTGTGAAAAGGTTGAAAAGCCCTGGTATAGGATCTCCTGCTTGAGGAAGGGGTTGGACTACAAGATCTCCAAAGTCCCTCCCCACTCTATTCTGATTGATAAAACCCACCAAGGGGCTGCCACATTCTTTGACAAGTAGACCAGCAAAATGCTGTAGGCACAGTATACTTAGATTTCAGCAAGACATTTGACAATCCATGTCAGGGGGTGACATGATAACAGTATTCCAATATTGGGGGCGCTGCCACAAAGAAGAGGGCATCCACCTGTTTTTCAAAGCACTTGATGGCAGGACACTAATTAGCTTACAAACTGTATTCAACGAGTAGTCCTTAATGGTACTACATCTACATAGAGAGGAGTAAACAGTGGGGTACCACGAGGTTCTCTTTTAGGCCCAGTAGTCTTCAAAATCTTCATATATGACTTAGATGAGAGAATAAAAGGGGAAGTCATCAAATTTGCAGATGACACTAAACTGGCAGGAATAGCCAACACCCCAGAAGACAAGCTCAAGATTCAGAAAGATCTTGACAGACTTGAACAATGGGCCCTATCCAACAACATGAAATTTAGTGTGGAGAAAAGCAAGGTTTTACACGTAGACAGGAAAAACCAAAGGTGCAAATACAGATTAGGTGAAACCTGGCTCAAAAATAGTTAACTGTGAGAGGGACCCTGGAGTCCAGTAGCGAATCATTTAAACATGAACCAGCAGTGTGCAAAAGCATTCAAAACAAGCTAATAAAATCCTTGGTTGTATAAACAAGAGTCGTAGAATCAAAATCACAAGAAGGATTAGTATAGCTTTATAAAGAGCAAGTAAATTAGTAAGACCACACCTGGAATACTGCATCCAGGTTTAGTCACCACATTACAAAACAGATATTGAGACCCTGCAAAAAGGGCAAAGAAGAGCAACTAAAACGATTAAAGGCCTGGAGACAAAAACATGTGAAGAACAGTTGCAGGAATTGTTTATGGCCAGTCTAGAGTAAAGATGGACTGGGGGTGACATGATAACAGTATTCCAATATTGGGGGGGGGGGCTGCCACAAAGAAGAGGGCGTCCACCTGTTTTTCAAAGCACTTAAGGGTAGGAAAAGAAACAATGGATGGAAACTAATGAAAGAGAAAAACAACCTGGAACTAAGCAGAAACTTCCTAACAGTGAGGACAATTAACCAGGGGAACAGTTTTCCTTAAGAGGTTATGGCTGCTCCATCAATGGAGGCTTTTAAGAAGAGACCGGACAGCCACTTATCTGAAATGGTATAGGACTCCTACTTGAGGGGGTTGGACTAGAAGACCTCCAAGGTTCCTTCCAGCTCTATTCTGATTGATAAAACCCACCAAGGGGCTGCCACCTCACAGCCTCTTCATAGTAAACAAGGAAAATAATGATTTTTTTCAGATTCTGCCCAGCTTTGTAGAAACAAAAGAAAAACCATTAAAATTAGAATAAAACCAAAGAATATTCATTCCTCTGTATTTAGATTAAGCAAAAAGAAAGTGGATCTTTTCTGGGTTGGGATAACATGAGCTCAATTCAAGCAATTTAAAATCCCCCCCTTAAACCAACCTCCCCCCGCATTGAAGGGGGAAGGCGGGTCTTTCTTTCCATTGCCCCATATCCCCCCCCCCAAATCCTTAAAAAGAAAAGCCCCCCCCTTTCCCTCCATGGGGCGACCCCCCCCTTTCCCCGCAGGCTCCCCGTCCAGCCCTGCATCCACCCGGGATCCTCGCAGGCTCAGCCACCCTCCGGGGACCCAGGGGGGACTCGGGGCTACCTTCCTCCTGGCCGGCCGAGGGAGAGCAGGAGCAGCCCCACCTGCCCGGAGCGGGGCCG